GCGGAAGAATTACGGCAGTGAAGAAGGTAAATAGAAAGAAGAAGAGAGAGTAGGCGCGGGGAGGGGACCCACGGAAGGAACAATCATGGAGGGGTTTGAGGCGGAAAATGGCCGAGTGCGGGAAGACGAGAGAGATGACAAAAGCAGCAGTTGGACACATCAGCAGAATAGGGAAGAGCTAAAATACATTTGAACATATGACGGGAATGAACGAGTCGGGACCACCCGGAGCTTCCACACCAGGCTTCAGTTTCCTCCTCTCGATCTCTCTTTCGGAGTTTTGGGCATGTTGCAATCTGCAGAGCTTATCTCCATTCTTTTCCAGAACAAGAAAAACATGCTTCAAATCACTGCTATTTTCGATTACTTTCATGGGCAATTTTCAACCGCAAATACTGTCTCAATGAGTTATCTTTTTGAATAAGTTTGTCTGGTACTGTTTCACCAGACACCAAAGAAAGGGACGCACGGTTAACTCAAAGCCGGGCATCAAAGGTAATTTACGGCGGGCAGCGTCTTTCTAGCGCTATTGTAATGATTTGTCCAAAAAATTATCAATATATTAATAAAGTAGGCCTGAATGGATTCATCTGAAACTCGTGCATTGAAAATAGTCAATAAACAATGAAATCAATCAAAAGTTTTTTTTAAATAAAAAAAAAAGAAAGAACAACAACGGAAGTTTATTTTATAGTTACAAAAGCAGAAACTGAACGTTGTATGATAAGCATGTAAAATACTAATTTCTTTATTCAACGTAAGAGTTACATAACTAATTTATGAAAATTAAAAAAATTAATTAAATTAATTATTTGTCGTAAATAAATATTATTTTTATTAAAACATTCTTTATTAATTATGTACATTAAAATTATCCTCCCCTTAACATGTGCAATTATTATAGGAATTACTAAAAAAATAAATATTAAAAATAAAGTAAATTAAGGTCTTACTCCACTAGTCCTCAATATAGGACCGAATTATTAAGTTAGTTTTGGTTTTAAATATAAGAACCATTTCTCATATTTATCAATTTTCTCTAAATTACCCTTATAGATACTCCCTCAATCATAATTAAATAGAAAAGAAAGAGGGGGTATTAAGAAAAATGATTGTGGTATTTTAGGAAAAACATGTCATATTTCTTATAATTAACTAACTTACCTAACTTTCTTAATCTAATCAAATTAGTTAAATAGGCCTTATATTAAGACCGGAGGAGTATATTAGAACTAAAGTAAATTTACAACTAGCATTTATATTAGGAAAAGGAGCTAGCATTTTATAGAGCAGATTGTATTTAATTAATTTGATCTATGATCGTAGGGAAAACAAGTTATGGTGAAGTGTGGGAGAAGGTCTGGGGAGGCAGAGAATGGGTAGGGGAGGCAATATAAAAAGGCACAATGAAAAAGAATGCAAAAGCATGAAACCTTAAAAAGGAGCCTTGTCCGGCTCTACAAGGACCACGCCCAAAAGCCAAAAGCCTTGTGAGGGCGAAGGTACTACAATTGTAATACCATCGTTTCCTATTACTCTCTCCGTCCCTATTTATAAACAATAAGGCCAAATTACATCGAACTCTTTTTGACTTCAACTCCATTGCATATATCCTTTCTCATCTTTAAAATTTAAAAATCACACCCTCAGCTTTTATATTTTGACATTTAATCCCTTACAACGTGTAGACATCATGTCAAACTATTTTAAATTATGTGGTAGATGACATGTAATTTTCATTACTTTTATTTACTTATTCCGACTAAAAATCATAATTACTCTAGAGAATATTTTTTGTCATTCTGCCTATCAGAATCCCTAATTCTCTTTTCATGTTATCGTCTCTGTCTTCTCCTCTAATACCTCACCAAGTCGCGAGTGCTCCCCCTTTTCAACATTTTTTTCATCCTCTTCATTCAAAAGGTCATGCTCATCACATCTTCCTTTAAATCTGGACCTTCAGGGTTGTCTTCTACGTTGGTCATCATCTAATTCGTGAAAGCTTCCCAACTCATTATGCATTCATCATAGTCAAAATGTACATCTCCATGATCCACGAGTTCCCTCTAATCAAGTATGGCGTTGTTTTTGTATGTGGTTCACCTTGCTCTGCAACTTTTATATTTGCAAAGAAACAAATCTGGTTTTGCTTAGCATCACTATTAGGAAATTCATAGCCAATCATATAAACCTTCATGTCAGACTCTTCATCAACCCTTTGATTTTCGTGTTTCACCCCTCTTCTCTTCTTAATTCATTTGTTCCTCTTGTGTTGGGAAAATATTCATATTTGCGGAATTGTCACATTTGTTTTGAAAGTCCCGTGATTTTGCAGATTATGAGACAGTTGTTTTGGGGATGATTGACCAAGATAACAAGATCCTGAAATTAGAAGTATAAAAAAGTGGTATTGCCAGGATTTAAGAAAATCACAGGGCTGGGATGCACAGGGATAAATTTTTGAATGAAAATCATAGCAAGAGGGTGAAGCAAGTTGATGTAGCACGGATGACTTGCATGGATAAGAGGCGGAGAGCAAGAGGAGGGGAATTGGTGATTGCTATTGTTAGAATTTTGAATTTCAATACTGCCCTTCAGTTTTAAGCCAGCATAAATAAATAAAGTAATAAAAATTACATGTCATCTGCTACATAATTTAAAATAATCTGACATGGCATCTACACCATTAAATTTAACGGTCATTTTAACAGTAAGAGATTAAATGTCAAATTATAAAAGTTGAAGGTGTGATTGTTAAACTTTTAAAGATGATGGAGTTATATGCAATAGAGTCGAGGTTAAGGAGGGTTCTATGTATTTTAGCCTAAACAATAACTATCATTCCCTTCTTGTCCCTAAATATAAGTAATATTTGTCTAAAATTTTTGTAGCAAATTTTTCATTTTGCCCCAATTAATTACTTATTTTAATACTCAATATATTTGTTATCTCATTTCTCATTTCATTATCTCTTTTCATATACATTCTCTCTTTCATAATTCTCTTTCTTATACTCTCTCTCATTTATAACTAAGAGCAATTTGGAGAAAGAACTTCAAATTTCTACCTATTTATTATATTTAACTTACTTTTTGATCTATCCGATAGAGTCCAAGATTATTTATAAAAAGGAAACGGGGGTAGTAATATACAAAGCTATCCTCTTTAGTTTAGGGTGCATTTGGTATGAGGGATTTGAAGAGAAGGGGAGGGAGAGAAAAGGATTTTAATCGTTTCTTTTTGTTTGGCAACACTCAAATTTTAGAAGGGGAGGAAAAAAATTTTAAAATTTTCTCTTCCCTCTCCTCCTTAACCTCCCCTCCAAAATTGGGAGGATTTAGAGGGAAAATACAATATTTTGTCATGCTGTGACAATTATGTCCATATTTTGTCATATTGTGAATATTATGTCTATATCTTAAATAAAATAAGAGCAAAATTATTCATGTCAAAATATTTTTGGGAAAATTACACTCAGGTCCCACAGAGCACAATTAATATCAAAAAGGTCCCTCGAAATCCCGAAATGATTCTGAAGTCCCAGGGACCTGTGTGTAATTAATTCTAATTGTGAAATTACGTAGTTACCCCTGTTAATTTGAACCTATTTACAGCCTCAACAGTGGCTGTTAACAACCCGAGAAGAGGTGGTTAACAACCTCAACAACGCCCTTGGCATTCCACAGAGTGAGTTGTCATGAGCACTGCCAAGGTTGTCAATCACGTCTTCTCGGGTTGTTAACAGCCACTGTTGAGATTGTAAACGAATTGCTGCAATAAAATTAGAACCTGTTTACAATTTCAACAGTAGCTGTTAATAACCCGAGAAGAGGTGGTTAACAACCTCAACAACGCCCCTGGCATTCCACAGAGTGAGTTGTCATGAGCACTGCCGAGGTTGTCAATCACGTCTTCTCGGGTTGTTAACAGCCACTGTTGAGATTGTAAACGAATTGCTGTAATAAATTAACAGGGGTAAGTAGGTAATTTCAGAATTAGAATTTATTACACACAGGTCCCTGGGGACTTCAGAATCATTTCACGATTTTGAGGGACCTTTTTGATATTAATTGTGCTCTGTGGGATCTAAGTGTAATTTTCCCAATATTTTTCCCTCTCCTACCCTCATAAACCAAACAAGGTAATATTAAAATTCCTCCCTTTCTCTTTTTTTTTTATAAATCCAAATAAGATAATATTAAAATTCTTTTACTCTCCTCCCCTCCTCTTCCCTTTGTTAAAATCTCTCCCTTCCCTTCTCATTGAGCCAAACAGAGCCTTAAGGCTAAGCTATCCTCTAGACCTTTGGTGAAGTTCTTCTCGTATTCCCAGACATAGAAACGAACTTTCCCAAATAAACTTAATTAATAGCCGCCCACTCTCGAAACTAAAATTGGCAATACCATGATTGAGCCTATCATCCATTCCATTGCATGCGTCCATTATTCCTATCATTTTAAATTTAAAATATTCTACCTTTTTTTTCTTTGTTCAACTAAATGAATGCTTCATCTGAATCATTAATTAGTCATTCACATGCCTGTTAACATTGCATTTTCTTTTATTTATTTTAAGCAAAAATGTAAGAAATTTTAGATCCTGCAGTTTTGCTTCTGGTTACTTTATTATATCCTATTAGCGGAAAAAAAATACTTTTTTTTTCTGGGTCTTGTCCAGGAGGCGGGTCAACTGTTCACTGAAAATCATATTCCCAATTCTAGAGAAAGCTGGGAATATGTTGGTAGATATCATACCACAATTTGGTCCTACGTATCCTAATCTAAATTATTAGGTGCTCCAGCTGAACGCTTACACTCGCTCACTCCATTTTCATCCACGTGTGTGGTTCTGAGTGTGTTAGAACTTCGGATGAATTACACTTGAACGCTAGAAAGCTCTAAGGTGGCAAAAAGCAGAGGAAGGCTAATAAGACCAAAAACATGGCAAAGAAACTTCCAAAGCAAAGCACTAGAAGCCTCCATCCTATTTCTTCTTCTCTATTAGAATCGAACTCTCCCCTTTCCCTCCATCACGATCTTGGCTGCGCTTCTCATACTCACATTTTGCACTTAGAAAAGAGAAAATGCCATCTTCTCTTTCTCTCCCTATTGGACCCCCTCTTATCTGCAAGTCTCGACACTCCTCCAGGGATCGCACTCATGCCTGCATCCCAAAATGCATCAACCAAGAGAGTCTGCATTCGCAACCTGCAATCTCAGAACTGAAACTGAGCAAGAGAAAGCTTCTGTTATTCACCAGTGCTCTGGGATTGTGCAGGCCTGCAAGAGCAGAACCGGAAAGCCCAGATGCTTCCACTTCGAACAGATTGACATACTCGAGGTTCTTGAAGTACTTGGACGAAGGTAACGTGAAGAAGGTGGACCTGTTTGAGGATGGCACTGTGGCGATCGCCGAGATATACAATCCGAGCTTGGATAAAATTCAGAGAGTGAAGGTTCAGTTACCGGCCAGGCCGCCCGTGGAGTTACTGAGAAAAATGGAAGACAGAAACGTAGACTTGGCTGCTCATCCCGTGCAACTGAATTGGTGGCCGGCACTGCTTGATTTCTTTGCCAACTTTGGGTTTCCGTTGATACTGCTCGCATCTCTCTTCTTCAGGACATCAACTAATAATCCCGCAGGAGGCCCCAACTTGCCCTTTGGTCTTTCAAGGTATGATCCATCAAGGAACGTACGTAAGGGTCAAGGTTGTGTGTGTGTGTGTGTGTGTGTGTTTTTGGGGGGGGGGGGGGTCCCTCTTGTTTTTGGGTATTAAAAATACTATTCTAAATACTTATCGAATAAATACTCATGATGTGTGTCATCCCCTTAATTTCCTCAGCATTAGATTTGGAGAATCTATCAGGCTTGCTAGAATTATTCAAGTTATATTATTTTGGCCTATATGCTAGTCATGGCTTGAACGTTGACACCCATCATGATCAATATTTAGAAAAACATATAACATCAAAATAAATATAATTCTACTGATAAAATTAAAAAAACTACAGTAGAATTATATTAGTAGAATTATAATACTTCCGATTCTTAATATAAGATCTCGTTTGACTTTTATTTTGATCCTAAATATAAGATCCCAATTCACTTTATCTCTTATATTTATTATATTTATGTATTTTTTCTAGTGTAGTCCTTCTAGTTCTAGTTGATACACTTGATTAGTAAGGATGTTTCAGGAAAAACAATATTTACTTATAACAAATAACTAACTTAACATATTTTCTTAATCTCCTCAAATTAGTCAACTAGCTCTTATAATTAGGACCGAAAGTAGTATATTAAATACCGGAGGTGGTGGTAAAACAAGAACTGAGGAGTATATTTTAGTTATGTTATGAATTTAATTTGTTGTATATTACGTGCAGGAGCAAAGCAAAATTTGAGATGGAACCAAATACCGGGGTAACATTTGATGATGTGGCTGGAGTTGATGAAGCGAAACAAGATTTTCAAGAGATCGTTGAGTTTCTGAAAACCCCAGAAAAGTTTTCTGCGGTTGGTGCAAAGATTCCAAAAGGGGTTCTCCTGGTTGGACCACCCGGAACAGGGAAGACATTGTTGGCCAAGGCCATTGCTGGTGAAGCCGGAGTTCCCTTCTTCTCTGTGTCAGGTTCGGAGTTTATTGAGATGTTTGTGGGGATCGGGGCTTCCCGGGTCAGAGATTTGTTCAACAAGGCGAAAGCCAATTCACCTTGTTTGATATTCATTGATGAGATTGATGCTGTGGGAAGGCAGAGAGGGACAGGCATTGGAGGAGGCAACGATGAAAGAGAACAAACACTTAACCAGTTGCTCACTGAAATGGATGGTTTTACTGGAAACACTGGAGTCATAGTTATCGCTGCGACCAACCGGCCTGAAATTCTCGATTCTGCATTGCTTAGACCTGGCAGGTTTGATCGGCAGGTATGTTTCTTTGGTTGCATTTTCAACTGCTTCACAGCACGCTATGGTATTTTGAAGTGAATGGTTTTCGGATTGGTGGAATAGGTGAGCGTTGGATTGCCTGATGTAAGAGGCAGAGAAGAGATATTGAAAGTTCACAGCAGTAACAAGAAGCTAGACAAGGATGTGAGTCTTAGTGTGATTGCGATGCGTACTCCTGGGTTCAGTGGTGCAGACCTAGCAAACCTGATGAACGAAGCTGCCATACTTGCCGGCAGGAGGGGCAAGCAGAAGATCAGCATGAAAGAGATTGATGACTCTATAGACCGTATTGTGGCTGGCATGGAAGGAACCAAGATGACTGATGGCAAGAACAAGATTCTCGTGGCTTACCATGAAGTTGGCCACGCTGTCTGTGCGTAAGTATATATCAAATCAGAAGTTTTTTTCCATTTTCATATCCAAAGCAAACAGAGAATAAACACTCATCATGGAACTGTAATATATACAGGACATTGACACAAGGCCATGACCCAGTACAAAAGGTGACTCTGGTTCCGAGAGGTCAAGCCAGAGGATTAACATGGTTCTTGCCAGGTGAAGACCCAGCTCTTATCTCTAAGCAACAATTGTTCGCGAGAATAGTTTCAGGCCTAGCAGGAAGAGCAGCAGAGGAAGTCATATTTGGTGAATCAGAAGTAACCACTGGTGCCGCTGGGGATTTGCAACAAATCACTCAAATAGCAAGACAGATGGTTACAACGTATGGGATGTCGGACATAGGACCATGGACTTTGATTGATCCTTCAGTACGAAATGGTGATGTTGTGCTGAGGATGATGGCAAGGAACTCAATGTCTGAGAAATTAGCAGAGGACATCGATCAATGTGTGAAGCAAATAATAGAGACAGCATATGAGATTGCTAAGCATCATATAAGGAATAACCGTGAGGCTATTGATAAGTTAGTTGATGTGCTGATGGAGAAGGAGACTCTTACGGGTGATGAATTCAGAGCTATCTTGTCTGAATTTACGAGTCTCCCTTCTGTTCACATAGATAGAACCCCTGTCCGCCAAATGATTGAAGCTTAAATGTGAGTATATAACTTGCCTACAATGTACAGTCACCAGTATATATATGTATATAGATATAGATATAGAGTTCAAAGTTTATATACTCTGTATGCCTGTGTATTGTAGCTTGATGGTAGGATTGATCAGTTTGGTAGAGACGCAAGAGTTTTGAAGCTCATCATGATGTAACAGTAGACTCTATTCGGAGGAAAATGAGTGAATCATCGTGAAGCTTACCTAAAAAGTATTTTAAAATATACTCCTCAAATGCTTAATATAATACCTAATTGTTGAGTTGATTTTGGTTATAAATATAAAACTTATTTCTCATATTTATCAATTTTCTCTAAACTATCCCTATTGATATTCTTTTAACTATAATCAAGTAGATGAGAGAGAGAGGATATTAAGGAAGATGATTATGGTATTTTAGGAAAAATATGTCATTTTTTATAATTAACTAACTTATCTAACTTTCTTAATCTAATCAAATGAGTTAAATAGGTTTTATATGAAAGACTGGAGGAGTATATGATTACATATATAAATATATACCTATTACAAAATGTTGTGCGAAAAAAATACATAGAAGTTCATGCATGAAAGAATTTGAATATGCTGATTCAATTGATAAAAATACAGCTAATAGGTGTGGGTTTAAAATCAAATCTCAATTCAGACCCAAAAAAAAAAAATCCCACTATCACTATGAAGATCTCATTAATGAACAATTTGTAGGTACTCTATAATTGTTTTTTAAATCATGAGTATGTCTTAATCTTGTTACGCTATTAGAGTCCTGCTCACTTCAGTTAAAAGAACACAAAAGGAACCCAAAGCTATCAAAGCTGCTCGGAGTATTAAGACGCAAATTCCTAAAGCTATTTGTACTGTAGTTGGTCATCACCATTTTCTTAAGATTTAGGTTGACTCTTCGTCTTTCAATTCATCAAGTTCATCCACTGATTATCCCAATCATAAAATTTATATCCGAGAAACATGTAACATGCGCAACATTTATATACAAAACTCACATCCACAACAAAGAATCAATCAAAAAGCTTAATAACAGGCAATTGTACTTAGGTTACATCCTTCATTTGATGCGGAGTTTAGCAACACATGTAATTGAAAAAAATCATTAAACCAATCCTAAAATCCCAACTCTTAGAAAGAAACAATAGTATCACACTCCTTGCTCAATGTTTATGCTTCTGCCATCTATTCCTCGCCAATGCAGAAGTTAAAGAACAGTATGAGTAGCCTGAAGTTTGAAGAGATTAACATGACACCACTCATTTCATGATGGTCTCTAGCCAGTAGCTTCATTTATGATGAAGACGAGCTTTTTCGGCCGAAAGCTTGTAAAACCCTATTGAAGAGTCTGCCTCAAATGCTTGTACTACGAATCCATTTACAGCCTCATGTGAAATAACGTGTGGGTTACAGCTGAATAGCAGTATCCATACTACCACGAGTGCCAGGCAACGCTACTGCTTCCTCTCCATTCAAGGCCGTACGTAATCCACATACATGCAGGAGTGTATCTATTATGAATGAGCGGGGAATGGTCAATCTTTGGGGGAATAAAACTGAAGCTCAAAATTTTGGTGTAATAAAAAAAGAGCCATCTTCTACATATCCGTTTTATACGCTCCAAACCAGTGCTACTAGCATTCCGTGCTCCTCAGTGAGATTGTACTATGGAGACCATGAGCAGCTAAACTTGGATGTAGCAATGCAGAAATATAGGCATTGGCACAATCACGATGCCTGAATTTAGAACGATTGGCTTCATCGGTATTTGCTTCAGTGTCCCTCAGCTTCCTCCTCCCTTGTGTCCTCCAGCCAGCTCCCCAGCTTGAGAGTCACGGTCCCTATGTTTAGCATCAGAAGAAGGTTTATTCACAGTCTGGGCCTTCATACTATCGGGTCTTGATAAATGAATGAATTGAAAAGGTAAAATCATGTGAAAAAAATGGTCAAAACCAATTTTAAAAAAAAGGGAGAAATGACAAAAAAATAAGTGCAATTAGGACCTAAATATAAATAATCTAACATGCGATCTTCCTGTTTTTTTTTTTTTTTGTTTATCGTTACTTTGTATATAAAAAGAGTGACATTATGGCTATTGTGTTTTATGGTTATGAGACAGTGCATTTTTATATTTTGTATAGTTTTCAATATATATTTTAATAAAATTTAAATGTTAAATCTCCCATGCATCGCACATTAAAAAAAATCTAATTACATAAAATTTTAAGTTGATACATGGGTCATGCTACTCATAACTAGTAGACAATATGATTTGTTACTAGTTTTATTATAAACTAAAAATCATCCCCATATAATGCGAGGATAGATAATTTTTTTCCCTCAAGATTATTAACTGTCAATATAGTAACTCAACACCCATTTAAATCAAAGGGGATATATAGTCGGATGATTTAACTTGGAATCGTCCCACTTAAAATGAACATGAATAATTCACAAGGTGTATTGCAGTAACCTATGGTCAACGCCAGCGTGGCAGAAAGTGTTCAGTGTTGTACCGCAATCAAATGAGATTCCGTGATTCATTGATAGACTGGTTTGAAATGTTAGCGGAAGCCCATGTGCATTTTGATTATGAGCTGTCAGTAGCAGCAAGACAGCATGAAGCAACCAGACAGGTAATTGAGAAAATCAAAGTGACAGCTGCGGCCATGCATCCATTTAGGAAGAGGAGATTCCGATCATGGCATTATGGCAAGCATGTCTTTCTTTTCCCCCTCACGCTTTTTTAAACCTTTTTGCCCTTTCGGCCGCTACTGGTCGGGGCTACGGGTCCCCTCTCAATTATTGATTCGCCCGGAAATTAGAGACAGCTCAATGATTCCTTTATGACTGACTACAAATGAATGAATACAAGTCCCCCTATATTCATATGTATATATTTCCGATAATTCCTGACTCCCCTTTATATCTACAATCTTCCAACTTTTGTGCCTCTTCCCTACCCTCTTAAACTAAAATAAGGGGTTTAAATTACAAAAGTCAGTTTATCAAACTTGCAGAGAGACTCTTGTCTTTATAGGCTTTAGTTTTAATCCCATGCTTTCTGGAGAAAGAAGCTCCGGTGCTATGCATGATGGGCTGAGTGGACTCCGAGGGCTCCCGCTGAACTGGCACGGCCTGTACAACCCATAGCCCATGAAAAAGTACTCCAAGGGAATCAGCATTGCATGTGGCTGTTCCTCTGTCACCATCGAACCACAAGATTGGACCTACAAAATCGACCAAAATTAAAATGCCCCATCATGCCAAAGAAATACTATCAAATTTCATGCGCTAATCAAGGCCAGGCCAAACTGCCTGGTATGGGCATCCCCCCCCCCCCCCCAAAAAAAAACTGCTGGTGCTTTTAAACATCCAACTCTTGCTGCTATAGGCAAGCAATTGTCTTGAATTAAGAACGCTAAGGCTGTTCATAAGCATGTTAAACTATTAAGCAACTTCTATAGTTGACTAGAGAAGTTCATGCATGTCATATGCACCCTTGCACATTACTTTACACCTCATACCTCCACTAGGGCACTGTATCTCCTATCGAGTTTTGAGGTCATGTACAGAGCCTCAGAATGAAAAGGAGAGCTGTCCCCAACAAAAATAAGTGTACGGCATCTTAGTCCCTTCAGTTCTTTTGTAATGTCAGGTCTCCTGCAAATTGGCAAAAAAAAGTTGAAACACATAAATATGCCAATTTACCAAGAAGACAGGACAGAAACAAACAACTTGAAGTTGATGAAGAAATTCGCCAGCAGAAATTACCGATTAATTGCATGAAGAAACCGCAAGACGTTGGTGCTTTTTCTTTCATCCAGCAACTGAAAACAAAGCATCGAAAGTATTCAAAACCAAAACAATGTGAGGCTAGTCCCTCTACCCCACTCTTAGGAAAAAGCTAAGCGGAGAAAGGAAAGGCAATCAGTTGTCAGCTACAGGACAATATAGACCAAAGAAAGAATTGGCTTATCACTGACTGTTCTGCAAGCTTGAACTATCTCTGATTCTGGAATTTCAGCATTACCACGAACTTCCTGTAAGGCCCCGAAGAAAAACACTAAAAGTATTGAATAAAATACAAAATGACGGGGGAAGAGAAAAGCTTGAAAAAGAGCCAAAATTCCGGGATTACAATACCTTGCTGAAGTATCGCTGGAGCAAACACTCCTTCAGCAAACTACACATGCCATAGAAATATAGCAAATTTGACATGACCTAAAATTACATGCGATATTAGGTGCCATAACTAAATTTTAAAATGCACAGAAAGGTCAGAAGGTCCAGAAAAGGAACCTTGTTATAAAACCATTCAGTCCAAGAAGGTGCTTTGCACAAAGGAGATACAAGTATTAAACCAAGAACACGTTCCCTATACTTCATCTGCAACAAATGATCAAAAAACAAATCTATTAAATAAGATTAACTTCATATGGAAAGCCCTATTCATTAATTATATAGGGTACATAGTACATACTGCAAATAGAGTAAGGATATATGCACCAGCTGTTACCCCCATACACATCACTGCTCCAAGCCTGAAAAAGGAAATAGTTCATAGCATTAGTAAATTAGTAAGTAGTATTTAGGAAAGGGAAACACTCTAGATGCATCAAGATAGGTTGTCAGCTGCCCTTCCCAAGGGCCAGTGATAAGCTGAGAGAAGCACAGTTAGAGATTGCTTTTCATATTATTCGAGTACAGCAACAACAAGAAGCCTTATTTGAGGATTCAAAAAAGTGGAAGCGTTCTGACTTTCAAAAACTTCCGGTTTAAATTTAAGCAACAATATAATCATCTTATTGTAATTACCCAAAATAGTTGAGAATCTCAACAATTTGATCAGCCAAGTCATCAACAGAAGGCACCGGATCATCAGGACAAATTGCTGCAGCTCCCAACTGCAAGAACTCTTGTGGAAGTTCCAGAGGAGACATTATGTAAATAATAGTATTCAGTCCAGAATGCAATAAATAATACATTGAAATCAATCAACTTACAGACCTCATGCCCTGGAGGACTTATATGATATATGCAGAAGTTGTGAAGCAACAAAGAAGCTGCCTCAGGACAGAAAAATAATCCTTGGAAGCATGACATATCTGGCCCAAGACAAAGACAACTAAAAATTTTCAGATTTAAACAAGAGAAAAACACGCACATATGAAACTGTTAATATAATCTAGGACCATTATAAACAAGTTTTAGGACATCATAAAGAATAAAAGCTGAA